GCTTTGGAAGTACATATGTGACCAGTGCACGCACTGTCTTCTACAGTGCGTGTGATTGTCATTGCCACAACCGCTGTGGATGTAACCGCAGTCACTTTGGACACGATCATGTATCGGCACTGTTCAGTCATGTGTGCCAGTCTGACTGCAGCGCCAGAATACATAGCCTAGCAGATAAAAAAGCAACCTTGAGACGGCTTCAATAAAAATGGAACGCGACCCGCGCGTCTCGCTCCCTGCATTTGTTGGCGAATTGTGGCCGGGATACATGGGAGACGCGGGCACGCGTATATTTTCTGCGTGCCCCTAACGAAGAATGTCAAAGACTTAGAAACAAGGTAGTGTGAGCAATGCAGCTCCCTCTAGTCAGTGTGCGATGCCTATAGCAACGACGTCACTGACAGAGCCCCGAAAGTGTGCGCTCAACCAATCAGAACAACGCTGCGTTGCACAAGCTCTGTGGACAAAACTGCGGCAGATGCGATTGTAGATGGCATAATTTGATGTAGTTTTGAAGGCGTGTACGCAGCCAAGCGCACGGGGATTGTAAAAGGAACTATCGTTTGCCGCATGTCCGCAACCGACACGCACAAAATTGCGATTGTGGCGATGCGATAGCAATCTACAAGCTTCGAGGGCATGCAGCAGTAGATGAAGAGCGGTAAATACACACACACAAAAAAAGTCGCAGTTTCGCCATAAGGGCGCACGAATGAATGCGACAGCAACAAGTTGAGTGTCACGCTGAGAACGGCAAGCAGTTCTAAAGGTGCAATGCGCTGCTCATGCACAAATGATGCAAAAAAAAAAAAAACGATACACACTGAACGAGAGCCAAATAACGTGTCGAGCGCCAAACGTTGTTATTTGGCTCTCAACACGTAACGCACTGTTTAAACAAAAAGGATGCACGATACATAGTCACAGGTACAGATGAGTACCAACTAACAAGTGTCCCAGTTGTTACACCCCGCTGTGTATGAAAAGCATGCTCTTTTTGCAAACGGGGCCTGTGCAGAGACCGAAGTGACCTTTGCGAGCCCGGCTACTAAACCATTCTTTCCGAAGGCACACAATTCTCCCCACGAAAGGATAAACGTGCCCAGAAGCATCTTATACCCCCCTCCCCCTCATATCCACGGGGCAAGGTACGCGCGAGAGATAAGCGCGTCGGCGTCGGTGCATCGCGACAAGGTGGGCACCGAGCGCAAGCGGTTTTTTTTTTTTAGTGTTCATACAGTCGAGCCCACATATAACGGCCCCACTTAAAACGAACTTTCGCTTAAAACGAACAATATCCGCGTGACCGTCAAGATATAGATTGGTTCAATGGCATAAAATCGCACTCACAACGAACGTCTCCGAGCGCCGCTGATCGGTTATAGTGAATGGAGTCAGCGGTCTGCCGACTTCCCAAGAAACCAATTTCGACCACCCATCAGACATCCGCGAGGATGTCTGATCCTCGCGGATGTCTGATCTTATTGTTAAACGCCGATTCTGCCTCCGCGCCCCTCTAGTTGCTGCTCTCCCCGACCGCTTTTTGTTACGCTCCTCTCCATCATTTGTCCCCCCGCTACCCTGAGCACCCCGCATCGCCAGACGAGGCCCATGTTTTCACACTGCCACCGATCTTTCGAAGACCGGTCGGCCACGTACCCCGCCGACTCTGATAAATTGCGATTCGTTTCTTGTTTAGGACTTGTTCTCGCTCACTTCGCACTCGGCTCAGCATGTCCTTCGCACGCATGCGGAAGTGTTAAAACAGCTGTTAATTTGTGCGGAATGAATAGCGAAATATCAAAGTTCGTGAGGCCACGCAAATCTGCTGGCGCAACAAAACAATATATTGATCACGGCCGCCGATTCTTCGAATGCTGCCGCGCGCACCAAACGAGGGGGCCATGCTTTGACTTCTGCGCGCGCTGGTACTCTTTCAAGTTTTTCTACGAGCGAGTTCGCAGACCTTTAAAGCAAGCTAGCCAACCTGCTTCCTTCCCGGGTGTTTTGGTTTTTAAGGTTGCCCTCCCGCTGCATCCTCCCCTCACTTTATCGCAACTCCTTGCTCTTCTCTCGCAAATCTGCTCTCTTCTCTTGATCACAACACCTTTGTCCGTCTTCACCGCTACGCGACGCCCGCCATGCTGGCTCAAATTAGTTTTGTTTTCCGACTGGAAACGGGCCCAGAGCTGTTCCACGCATGTGCGCGTCTTGCTCGCTCTTGGTCGCGTGTGTGGTCATAATGGCCGATGGGAGGACTAGCACGCTTTTTCGTGCCGCTCAACAAAACGTCGAAAGAGTGACCGCTTCGATTGAGCGTAATCCGCGTGTTAGGTGTCGCATTGCGGAGCGCTTGCTCATAGCTGTTGACCACCTGGCAGCCAACTTGCCGCTTCGGGCGTCCCGGTATTCAGCTGTGGAGATGGTTAATATTTTGTGGGCGGCGGTGACGGCTACATGTGCGCGAAACTATTTTCGCGAGGCCGACTTCGTCGATCGTCAGGCTCGATAACCAGCTTGAAGCTTCCTAACAGGACCACTGCGGCGGCGATTTGTGGCAGCGCTTCATCAACTCAGACCTGGGAAAGCGGGTGGGACATCTGTTGCGATGATTTAATTACGGTCGATGATGATGCCGACACTGCGGAACCGTGCACGGATTGGGGCATTGTGAATGTAGTATGTGGCGAGAACGATTTTGAGGAATCGGATTGCGAGAACGACGAAACTTTGGAGCCAGCGCCTCATGCAGCTTATGCCACGGACCTCGGTGAACGAGCAGCCTGCCGTTTTAAATGAACTCGAGACCGCCCTTGTCGTTTCTGCTCTTTGAAACACGTGCATCACTGTCTTTTTGGGGCAAAAAAAGTTTGTGTTTTCACTCGCAACTTTTTTAAAAGCTGTGGTTCATTTACTACGAACCTCGGGATGCACCGAGCGGATGCCGCGTCACGCTCAGGTTCCTTATAAGCGGGCTCGACTGTATATGTATAGATACGTATACATATACGGTGAATGACGGTGGCGACAACAAAAAAACAGCCTAGACTGTCAATGTAATTGAGATCCCCCCCCGACCCCCTCTTGTTCTTCACGATGTTTTTTTTTGTTTGTCCTTGCTTTGTCCTTGCTTTTGTTTGTCCTCCACCAAATTGGAGGACAAACAACAAAGATAACTTAAGGGGGGTTTTTAATGAACACTGAATCTGCGATCACAGTAGAAGTAACGTCTTCTTCCTTTTTTACACGCGCTTTCCTTGTTTTTTCTGGTAGTGACACTTCATATCAATATTAAATTCATGGGTAAACTACACCTTAGCGTTTACAGGTAGAACACAACTTCAGATTATCTTACCTTTGTGCGCAAAACAACGTAGTCATAGCGACATTTCAGCAAAGATTCGTGGACAAACCCTCTATATTTAAGCATTCAACGATTTATTGGCTTAAAGACGTTTGCGCGTCACAAAACTGGTCGTATATGCCCCAAGCAGTTTTTTATGTCTGGTCCCTTCAAATGTGCCTCTTCACTCATCAAATGTGGCCTCTTCACTCATCAGATTTGAGTGGGTCAACGCACACTGCAGAGATCCACTTTTTTCGTGTATCGTTGTTTAGCATCGATGTCTAATTTCTCAGCATACATGCTGAAGCGAGCTGAGCACGCATCGCCCATGGCTACAGTCAGCTTCACAAATGGTAAATCTTGTACCTTCTAAAGCCAAATAAAATTGAAACAAGAGCAACGTGCCCGCAGTAACTTGTATGCACCTGTTGGATCCACTGGACTGTATTGCCGCTATGCCCCCAGCCGCCCGTATGGTGGCCTTCATAATAGTGGCCACGTGGTTGCCAGCACAGCTGGCGTGCTTTTCCCTGTCGCACCCACCAAGCTGACGTCACGTGAATACAATCTATATAGTTAAAACGAGTTTTCTTGAACTACTTTCTTAAAGGGACACTATAGTCAAATGACAATTTTCATGAGAGTGAAAGCTCAATGTACGGCAGCCTCCTAAACGACAATATTATCAACAGCAGTGCCCTATTAACCAAGAAATTAAGGTAAATGCACGTGAACACATGCACTACGATAGGACATTCTCAAAATGATCCTGATGACGTCAGACGATCTGTCTGCAGTTAATCACTAGTAATTGAACTAGCTCCACTAAATAAAGAACCTTCCATACGTAGGAGACGTAATAAAATGCTGCTTGTTCATTTCTGTTTGATTCATAGAAAAAAACCGCCAGACTGGCACGAGTGGTTAAACAATTCAATTTTGCCTATTAAATTGACAGGTTGTGCCATCTAGCAGGGCTCTGCTGAACCAAAGTATGTCAGCCATCTCAGAGCCAACGGCAGCCGTTGTTTCTGCTGTGGCTCGCGCTGCTTTCGTTCTGTTGCTACTAGTGTCGTCAGCCGCGCCATAAAGCCGGGCAATGTTGCGCATAACAACAGTAACGTGAGACGGTCCGGCGGGTAATTGAAGTGCGCTAACCCGATGGGGACCACTAAAACGTGATTTTATTTCAAAATAACCACTTCTGGCTCCACAAAAGTAGCACTATGAGGTTTCCAGACCGCTATTTCAACAATCAACGTCGACGTAATAGTTGCCTTAAGTGTCCCTTTAAGTAGGCTGAATTGGCAACAACGACGTTGCTGTGACCTAATATCTCCGGCTTATACTTGCTGCGGTAGTAATGGGTTTTTAAAGTGGCGTGTCTCCAAATTATGCCTTAAATAGCTTGTACTACTACAACATTGTTGTGTCTGCCCAATGCATTTTATTGATCTAACAGCTGCATGAAATCTTGGAGATGAGGACGAACTATGTCACATAAAACCTTGCTCTCATCTTAGCACTTGTGTGACATGCAACTTCTTCATCTTCAAACCCACCTGTACCTTTCGATGCATTGGGTCTTCAGTGTTCTTGCACAATAAACTAAATCGTCTTGGTTTGACAGCAGTCGCTTCATTGCTCCCTGCAGCCAGTTTGGTGCCCGAGATGAAAGCGAGGATGACTTCCGAAACCTGGTGGCTCGCCTCAACAGCAACGTGTTGCATCTGTGCGCATCCCAAGGCTTGGAACCGCCCCTGCTACGACCCAGGACCACGCTGCGCAATCTTGCACTCCTGGTACAGCACCAGGGCAATATCAGGTATTGACTGCTTTCATCAGCTTCTTCACATTGTCATTCTACAAATCTCACTGACTAGTGCAGTGGAAACGTAATCATACTTACATTATGATCATTCTGTTGAATTCTGCCCCCAAAATCTCATTCTTCTCAACTTATTGATCACACTCAGAGCTTACCGTCGCAGTGCCAGCAGTCACGACGTCACATCTTCATTGTTTTGCAAGGCTGATCTGTAGCACTTTGCTTTGTGCAAGCTATGTGCCTGCTGTTAAGGGGGGACATGGTTCTTAGGGCTCTCTCATTTATATTTGAACCAAGTGTGACAGAAGTTGGCATGCTTACTTAGTTTGTCCTCCGGATTCTAAAAATGTAGTGATTTGTTCTGTAGCATAATTAATTAATTAAGTAATCAAGATAATAATTTCTATTGTTCTTACCTAAATAGAAAAATAATCACCTGTCAAAAATTTATAAATAACATAGGGATTGACAGTAGAAAGCATAAGTACATGCAACATAAGAAGCACTTTTTTGAATGGGTCATTATTTCTTACTTTACAGTACACTAAACTTCACAGCTCTGAATGTGGCCATTGTGTGGTCACACAAAAGACTAGTTTGAAAAACTTGCATCAACAGAAATAAAAATCTACTTCCTATAGTTGTGTGCTCCAAACATATAGCTTCATGCTGCAAAATAAAATATTCTGCTATCTCTAATAGTTTCAGATATATTGCCGTATTTTTCATGCAGGGTGTACATTTTGAGAAAATGAAGAAAACAAAGAATTCTAACATTTTTAACTGTAAAAATGTATGCACTTATAATTACATAGCCATTGACATATAAATGAATGCTAGAAAGCCTAAGGAGTGCAATGCTTGCAAGCTGATCGAAAATTGAACGAGTACTTCTTGAATTACAGCACAGTAAAGTTCATTGCATGTAACCAAATAAAGAAATTTTTATATTAAAATAAAGAAAATGAAGCTGCCCATTAAAAATAGGCTCCCAGCATTGTTTTTCGTTCACATTTAGCTACATTGTGCAAAAACAATTACAGCTCTAGCTGTCCTAGGTCCACTTTTACCGAAGAAGCAAAAGAAAGAGGTCAAAATCTGTGCTTCGAGAATAATGCTGTTAAAACTTAGTCTCGCCGTTCCGAGGGAAAAATATCATCGCACACATACTTTTAGTCAGTTAATATGCACCGGGAATGTAATAGAACTGATTGTTTGTACGAGCGTGTCTTTTCTTCTAGTCCTGTAGCAAGTTGTGTAGCAAGTTGTCGCCGTGTGCTCGTCTGCCGCGAGGCCGCTTATCAGTTCGGTGACTGTACTGACGGCGATGTGCGACAAATGTGCGTGCGTCATCCAGGATCCATCGAATAACGCGGCGATGTTTTCCGGCTTTTCCAGAGTAAGTTACCGTAAGTGCGCTAACCAAAGTTGTTCCCTCACTCATCAATTTCGAGGCTACACGAGTGCCGAGGTGTTAGTTTCCTTTTCACGTAAGATGGACGCATTTTCGAGCGGAGATCGCGACAACGTTGCGAACACGTCGTTAAAAGCAGTCTACCTGTTGCCAGTAGCCTCCATTGCGAGGGCCGCGAGCATGTTCACTGCGAACAGATTGACTTTCTGTTGTTGGTGGACGCGTGGCGTACTCCACTCTGACGTCCCATTGGGCAGTTCAAGGTCCCTTCGTCAGGCGGGGGGAACCACAACATCGGCAGGGTTTAGCAATAAGACTGCACTTCCGTTCCGTCACTACAAAGATTGATATCTCTGGTAGCTTCACTTCTGCTTTTTACTTGCCGTCCACTGATGAGGCTGCAAAACACAGCCGTTCTCAGTAACGTTGTCAGCAACCAACGTGCTCTTACGTGAGTTAGGCCTACACCGGTGACTCGGCGACCGCCGTTGACCGCGTTGAGTTCGTTATCCTCGTTGTCCTGAGCCATTGCGGGGATCTTCCTGAAGTTCACAGCGAACGAACCACCGCCAAACCCGCTTCACAAATTACTGTAGCATGGAACTTCTTTACTGCCGCAAGCAGTCAGTAGCACCATGGCGAAATGGCGCATGTCCGTGCGTGTCACGATGGTGAAGCAGACGCCGAAAGCACCCCTTGGCCAATCGGATGCCTAAATTCGGTCACGTGCCCCAAGCAGCCAATTGAATCGCGTGCTAGTGCTTCTCGATGACGCGTTCTTGCTAAAGAACCAATGAGCAAGGTGAGCCAGCGGTGGGGGGAAATTGAAGATGGAGAACAACCTTTCCAAACGAGACCAAGATGAACACGAAAGCTCGTGTGTAAAGGCAACAGTTTGGCGCGGAAAAAGCGCGATTTTAGTGCCAATTTGCGCACACATTCATCTCACAGGGATGTTATAAATTGATTTTGCGCCAGAAATAATGACGCGAAAAGCTAGAAACTTCTCAGATAAGTGCAAAAATAGGCGCAGATTTCAAAAATGTCAGCTTCAAAAAGTCGATTTTTTTGCGATTTTTGGCCTTCTAAGACCCGTGTCCCCCCCTAAGGACCGTTGAGTATGCATTGAGCACATCATGTCCTGTATCGTCTCCCTCACAGCAACCACATTGGATGCACTGTATTTTAAAAGAGTCAGTAGCTACTTGAGGACATGTGGAGAGGTGTAGAGACAAGCCCAGGAGCATGATCAGGGCCCTCATCAGCACAACCTTTCCATCAAGGCACTTAATGTGCAACTTGACAATACATTTGCTTTGCTATCCGCAAGATTGCTGACGTCATATGGAATGACACAATGCATGTTCTAATGAGGTTGTGACAATGAGCAAAACAATCCCAGCCGGTAAAAATCAGACTCTTTATTAAGCAGGCATATGCCCATAAAAAAGAACGACGCTCAAAGGGAAACAAAGTTAGCACACACTATCTGCTGAATAATCTGCTCATCTGTGACGTGGGCCTGCTTTTTAGAGCACAGCTCTGAAGACCCGTTGCTGCGTGTAGCAGCGTTTCCACTGGTGGCTGGTGTCGGCGTAACCGATAAAGCGAACAAGACACTGAACACTAACCTCACTTTCCCTCCTCGACACACGCACAAGCTCCCCCCCCCCCCCCCCTAGTCCGAGCTCGTGCACATGCAGGGCACTGTGGCTGGCTTTACTTGTTACGACGCCCCTGCCACCCCTCTATGCTTAGCTTACAGTGCTTTCGTGGGGACGAGAGAACAGATAATGCAATCGCAGCATGCGACAAAGCTTTGTAACTCCACTCGCACTGGACGCATTCTTAAAATTTTTGTGGCGCTGCATTTGTGAGGCAATTAGCTCCTCTAGTTTATTCATTCCATGGTTACTTGAAAAAGTGTTTCAGGGCCCCCCTAACGCATTTTGTTCAACAGGTGTCGCAACGAAAATGAGCCCATTCGGCAATTTGTAGGCGCATTTGGGAAACCTCAAACTTCGTTGAAAAAAGGCCGGGATAGTGCAGCCATGGTCGCTAAAAACACCCAGGAACTTTCAAACTGCTCTAGAAATGGACAACTATGTCCATCTAGCGGAAAACATATCATGCCTTTCCAAAGGCATTGATCAAGCAAGCAACAAACGCTACATAATGTGCTGCTATTTGTGAGTCATTGTGAGAACCTTTATGTCTCCGAGATGGTGAGCATGCGGCGTGGATCTTGGAGGCCATGCGACTCTTGCTTTAGATAAAAAACCTGTATGTACCATTTGTGCGCGCGCTGGTATGATATATTGTCTGTGTGTATGTGTGTGTGTGTGTGTGTGTGTATAATAAAACATATTAATAAGTATGCACTTAGCTGTTGAAGGGTGCACTAGAGCCGGATTTTCCTATCGCTTCAACTCTTAAAGGCGAAACTTGAGAGTCCTTCAATTTTTTTTTGCTTTATCAGTGCAATTCTATTGAACATACTCAAGTAATCTAGAACATTCCAAGACATCCTGGTGCAACCTGCACAAGGCAGTAACAGAATGGTTACATAAAATGGAAAAGCTTGCGCAACATTGCCCTCTCCTAAGAAGCATTGTCCCAATGCTTAGGGGGAAAAAAAATACAGTCTCAAAAAAAAAAGACAATAACAAATTAATTAAATATAGAGTCCTCAGGTACTGCGATATGTGTAAAATGGCTTAACTCTTTCGTTATCACGCAAAAATGGTTATTTTTCATATGTCCCGAAAGATTGTTTTTGCCAGTTTGAAAAGAACTAAAGCACCCATTGCGGCATACCAAATTTTGCACAATAAAATGCTTTTTCCAAGAAATATATTTTCTAGAGCAACAAAAATATTTTGGAATAAATAAAATTGTTAAAAGTGTGTGATTTATGGTTGCCAGCTTGTAAACAATACAATAAAAATACTACAAATGCGAAAATATTCAAAACGAAGAAAATGCGAAATATTTGTTTTGAAGACAAATCACGCAAGAACAGTATAAAATTTAACAAATGTTGTACAAAATGTATCTATTCAGATAGACAAAGAAAATCAGAACAGAGGTGCTGCTTTGTTGCTCGTGCCATGGGGTGAAGCATTGCTTGATTTTTCATGAGACACTAGTGAACTTGTACACTCTTCTCAAGGATTATTATTATTTCTTTTTTTGCAATTAAAGCCTCCAGGTCTTCTAATATAGACGGGCCCGTGATGGGAATAATTCCTCTATAAATAAAATGTCCAATAAACTTCAGTATTTCATCTAGCATCACTTTCTTCCATGAGCCAGCTCACTCCGCATAGGTTGGCATATGCATCTATATAAATATGCATCCAAGCATATTTCTTAACATTTTGCACGTTGTCGTGAAAAAAGAACATTATGGCGCTCAGTTCTAAAACGTTTCGCACTGCTCCATAGTCAGGGCCAAGATAGGCTCCGGTGGCCTTGTTGTAGTTTGGAGAAGCTCTGTAGCTGGTGCTAGCACACCGCGCCCCAGTGAAGTGTGGACAATGCACGGAACCGTAGTATACTCAAACTTCGTTATAACGTAACG